TATATATATCTATATATATATGGTGCTCTGATCAAATCCATGCCCACTCCCTCCCCTCCAACATTCCCTCCCTCTGAGAGGTAACCCTAAAAGGCTTTTAGGAATTCGATAAGAGCTCTCAAATACTTTTGACATTTTTGTCCTTTGGAACAGAGTATGTTGCTAAGAGGCCCAAGGACATTTTGATTTTTTAGCCAAGAAACTGGCTACTTTTCTTTGGGGTTTTTTTGCCCTAACTGCCTAGTCAAATCCTACCTTCTATTCTTATCACACTATCCCCTGAAGAGGTTACCCAAATTGCTGATAGGAAATCAGGACACAGACTGCTCTGGCTTCTTCCATGCTAAACAGGGACACAGGGTGAGGCAATTGGGGTATTCCTTCAGTGGGTCTATCTAAAAGACTCCCAAATTGTATAACTCTTAACTGTAGGGAGAAAAGAAAGTCCTTGACTGGTGCCTAGGAGATGTGAAAAGGAAGTAAAGGCAAGAGTAGTTAGCATTACAAGTTCTAGAGAGGGAACCAGAAAAAAAAGTCAAATCTGGGCAAATTTCAAATGTTCATATCAGAGTCCATTGGAATTTCTTGACGAGAGCTTCCAAAAGCATCCCTCCATTGGGTTCCTCCTCATTTTTCTTTTGTCTGCCAAGGCTGGACTCACTTTGGACTCAGGATTTGTTTTCAGGCACTTCGATAGCTGTTGGAGTGGCAAGAATCAGTGTCAGCTCCCTCGAAAAGGCTTCTACAGGGAGAGAAAACAAATTTAGCCATCATTTTAGAACAATAGTAGGTTGTCTCCCTTAGCTGCAGGCAGTATTGTAGATCAAGATTTAAAGTCTTATATCTGGGCCCCGCTTTGTGATTAGAAACAAAGTCATCAATGATAAATAATTGTCTAAATAACATTTTATATGAACTTAAGTCTAATGTCTGAGAAGTGCAATCCCTGGGACTCTTAAAGAAATATACTGATCACTTTAATCTTTGGTTATACTTTCCTTTTGAGTGTTTAAGACCATTCAGTTGCCCCAAATAAACCAATTCATTTTTACTCTTAAGGTCATTTGAGGATCTGTTCCTCAGATCACATGAGCTTGGGAGGAGCCCCTGGTTCCTTTCTTTTACCAATTCTGTCTCTGCGAAGATCAGTCAAAGGTCCTGCTTGACCGTGATTGGCTTCACTTGGAAATATGGAGGAATTGTTTCCTCTGTGTTGACCCTCCTCTTTGTAGACTAGTCACTGGTTCAAGTCCATCTGGTGGGGTCTCCATGGCCTCCCTGAACAAGAGGACAGGTGACTCACCACAGTTACAGGACATTTTGAGAGATGCTCCATAGTCCCCTGGAACTTAGTCAACCTTGGAGGGCAAGGAGCAAAAACTGTCCTTTAAGTCCCTCTGACCAGATTAGGACAGGCCTCAAAGTATGGCTGTTAAACATACAAGAAAGTTAGTTCCACCTGTCTGGTACTTTTAATTACCATGTGCTATGTAGATAAAGCTTGGGCAAAAACTGAACATTCTCAGATAAACCTTGACTAGCCATATATTTTGTTCCTTAAGCTAGTTGACTAAACTATGACCTTAGAAAATTTAAGATTATGTGTATATTATTTTTGTCTCATCCTTTATATATCATAACAAACCTACATAGACCTTCATCACTTGCTTAGGCTTTCTCATTTTTTCTATTTTGGAAAATATCTCCATTCCCATATCCTTTTAACATCTTTTACATTCTTATTTTCTTTTTTAACCGTTACAAGACATAATATCATTAACAAATTTTCCATCTGTTGTGAGAATTCTTTTCCTGGGGATACTAAGCATTGTTTATCCCCTTCTAAGGTTCTAGTGTCAAACCAATGTTTGATTAAAGTTTTCCTGGGGAACCAGTGGTCTGCACTGATTTTTCTAAGGCAAGTTAGAAATCTTGTATTTCAGATTACAATCTTATTTTAGAAAATAGTTTAATATGTCTACTCCAGGCAAGCCTTATTACCTCTTAATCTCTAGTTGTAAATTTTCACTGTGATCCAATCACTTAGTTCTTCCCCAGCTAAATATCTCAGGTTCTTCTAAGTTTCCAACATTTTGGAAAAATCCTCTTTTTAGAACCCTTAAAGTTATTTCAAGGAAAACTGAACAAGTTAAACCTAAGGAAATGAAATCAGAGTGAAGATTCGGGTCAGTCTATCATAAGTAAATTATACACTTTTTCTTTTTAACATCTATTTTGAAAGTGGAGTAATTATATGTGTTCAAAGCAAAAATTTCAAATGTAGAAGGAAACAAAAGCTCTTGTTCTAGACCACTCACTCTCTGAAGGCAACTGCTCAGCAAAATACACATTTTCTATGTATATTTCGGGATTAATTTTATGTACACAATAGTATATCCTTTAAATATGTCCTATAGATAGATTCATCCTTCTCATGCTGTTTGGTATTTAGTTTTTATTTTTATTTTTGCTTAATCTTTCTTAGGCTTTTTATAATAACCCACACAGATTTTGGCTTTTTAGTAACAATGCATAGATATGTCCTTTTGATAGATGTTTAAGTTCTGTTCATTGTCTATATCAAAATGTTGTGATTTGTCCATGTACTTTGTATAATTGAAGTGGACTTGGCTAAGCCAGAGGCTTTGGATTTCAGTTTGGGTAGATTTGCCATATTACCTTCCTAAAAGATTGAATCAAATTAAACTCCTTATTTATCCTAATGCAGCTTTTTTTTTCTTTTCTTGTGCTATATTTATTTTAAATAACATATTTGGAATTCTATTTAAGCTTCAGTGTCACTATTTAAACCTGTGTGTCACTTCTTAAGTTTATGGGTAAGAAAATGTTTTACCCTGAAAACATCGGGATGGGAAAAGTACTATGTTAGGAATGAAAGAAATGTACATAAAGATCTCCATTTGTTAAGAGTGGCTAGTGACACTCAGGAAAATAGCTTAATAACTGGCTCTCTCTTTGTAGACCTAGTATGGTTTATAGTAATTGCTGCTGTCCATAGTATAAATACTACAGCCATATCCAATTTCAAGCTACTAGTGTGTTACCATTGAATGGGGAATGTGTGGTTGTAGAACACTGTGTGTAGAAATCCCGCCACACATATACATAAGGTATAATTAACTTCAAGAGCAGAGATACTGGCTTGAGGCACGAGTGAGATAATTTACAAGTAATACATTTTGATTATTTTGATGTACTCATTTATAAACTTATATAATTTAATTTTAATCTTGGCTTTAACAAGGGGTAAACAAATTCCTGAACATGTAATAATCAGATCTTGAGAGCCAGTGCAGGCTAAGTGCTGCATACCATTCATACGGCTTGTGTTTTTTCCTTGTCTCCAGTTACTCCTTTCCTCCTAATCCTCCATTTACCACTGACCCTGAACCAAATTGGCAGGTGGAGAAAAAAAAAGTAATTTCTCTGTGAATAATAACCCTTAGCTTAATTTACAGATTTCCAATTTAAGTGGTTGATTAAAAGTATTAAGATTTCTCTTTATTTGTACTTTATATTTCTTCTACTTTACATTTGTGTTAAATATTCAAATTTTTAAGTAGCTACAAAGTTACTATATACAGCATACTTGATGATTATTTTAAAATAATAGGTAGGTAGTTTTTCCCGTTTTGGGAGGAGTTTTGTCTTACTGTCTGACATGCATTTTCCTAGTTTTTCACTAAAGATGTCATCGTACCCTCTCCTTGGACTGATCATGATGGAAAACAGCCTTCTGAGCATCATCCCACTAAATGTGAGTATTTTAAGACAGTTTCTGAAAAAATGTAAAGCATTGAATGTAAAGAGACACAGCTAAGTGTCCATTTCTATGCTTTGGTAAGGAATGTGCTTAAATTTCTGGATAACACAATTTAATTCTCCTTATGGTAAAGAGCAAAACAGCTAAAATTTTTTTTGGTTTGTAGTTTTTGTTTGTTTGTTTTTGGCTATTTTCTTCTGAATTTCTGAATGCATTTCTTTTTTTCATGACCATTGTGACTATCAGTTCTAGTGATGCCTGCATTCCTATAGAGGCTTCATAGGTGCAGATGGTTGATTTTAAAGAGAGTTAAATTATGAGTGACATTTACAGTGATTCTGAAGGTTAGTATTTTAGTATTTTAAATAAGATCCTTAAGTTGTTTGGCTTTTTGCTAATTGTCTTATTTCTTATAAGGTAGAGGAAGGGTGATGCCTTAATTAATCTCCGGGAAGCGTATTATAGTTGACCATCTGTATAACTTACAGAGCAATTAAAGGCAACCCAGTAATCTTTCAAATATCTCTCTTCTTCCAGGCAGTGGTTATCTTGCATTTGCTCTCATTGTCCTTTGGGCTTTGAGCAATGTTTAGGTAGTATGTGTATGCTCTTAGTATAAGTAGGAATGTTCTTACATTCCTTATCAAACCACAGTGGGTAAAACTGGCTGCATTTTTTCTATAGATATAGTCCTAAATGGTTTTAGTAATTCCTTTTATGCATGAGGAAGAACACTTGTTGGCCTTAGTTTATAGATGAGAAAACCTCATTTTAGGAAGGTTTGAGTACTTACCCAGGGTGACTGAGAAAAAAAGTGGTAGAACCTGGATTAAAAACTTGCCACCTAGAATTGTATTCTATGTCATCAACCATTACAAACAAAAGGTGGTGTGCAGTAGCAGATGAAGACCCAGATGCTAAGCCTCTTGGTGCTATAAACTGGAGGAGTCGCCTTGATTATTCCGTCTTTTTCGATTCCACATTCTTATTTGGGAAATTAAGATATTAAACTAGAGAATTGTCCTCACAACTTTTATTATTATTATTACTATTATTATTATTATTATTATCACTATTTTTGTCTTTTTGAGACAGGGTCTCCCTGTAGTCAAAGCTGGGCTGGAACTCGCTATGGAGACAGGCTGGTCTCAGTCTCATGGAAGAGATCCACCTTCCTCTGCCTCTCAGATGTGGGGATTAAAGGTATGGGGCACCAAGCCCAGCACAACTTTTAAATTCTGTGTCTATGGTAACATTTTTATAAGTCTTAATCCCTCTCCCCCATTTTTAATGTTGGACTTTTTTTTCAGATGAATAAATCTCACAGACTTTTATTTTAATCTAATTTTATTTTCTGGGAAGTGTTTTTAGGTAGAGGTAGGATCATGAAAATGCAAAAAACATTTTGAAAAGCAAAGGCTACCCATAATAGCATGATGCACTGGTTATAGGATGGTCTGTAGAACTAACTAGTTAATGTGCTGTGACAAAACAGGTTTCCAGTAGTGTCACATTTCTGCATATATTACAAAGAGTGGTATGAAGAGGTTTTGTTCCAAAGGTTTGTTTTTTTTTTTTTTTTAAAGTTGTCTTTGTATGTAGGTATGTATGCAGTTGCATGGATGCACATGTGCATGTTTTTCAAAGATGTGTGTATCAGGACTGGAAAGATGTCTCAGTGGTTAAGAACACTGACCTGACTGTTCTTGTAGAAGACCCAGGTTCAAATTTTAGCACTCACATGGTGGCTAATAACCATCTGTAACCCCAGTATCAGGAGATGCAACGCCCTCTTCTGTTTTCTGTGGGCATTACACAACATGGGTGCACTTGATACATGCAGGGATAGTACTCATACACATAAAAATAAATAAATTAAAATTTTAAAAAGAGATGTTTGTGTCATGCTCAGCCTTGGAAGACAGAGATAGTGTGTCCCTCCAGAGGAGAGAGTAGTTATTTCATGTTCAGAATAATACAGGGAATGTTTCGCTCTGGAACAGATTTGCTTATAGCCCATTATAGAAAAATGGGATTTCTTTCTCTTTTTTTTTTTCTTTTGTTGAGACAAAGTCTCATGCTCAAGGCTTGTCTTAAATTTACTATGTAATTGAGGATGACCTTGAGCTTCTGATCTTTTGAGAGTTAGGATTACAGTTTGTATACCACCACACCTAGATTAGTCGGGTGCTAGGAATCAAACATTGCACATGTTAGGTAAGCACTCTACCAAATGAGCTATATTCCCATCCCTAATGAATGAGATTTTTTTTAACATGAAAATTTCTAATTTGTGACATAACCTTTGTTTAGTTTCTTTTCAATTGCTGTGACAAAACACTCTGACCAATACCAACTTGGGGAGGAAAGGATTTATTTAGCTTACATCTCCCTGGGTCACAGCTGGTCACTGATGGAACCCAAGGTAAGAACTCAGGGCAGAAACCTGGAGGCAGGAGCTGGAGCACAGGCCATGGAGGAACGCTGTTTGCTGGCTTGGTCCCTTGGCCCCTGCTCAACCTGCTTTCTTATATAAAATAGGCCCACCTGCCCAGGGGTGACCCTACCTACCGTGGACTGGGCTCTCCCACATCACTCAACAATCAAGAAGATACCCCACAGACATGGCCACAGGCCAGTCCAATGGAGGCAATTCACCAATTGAGGCTCCCTCTACCCAGGTGTGTGAAGTTGACAACTAAAGCTATCCAGCACAGTTGACCCCTTGTCAACTTGACATACAAATACATCACTATTAAACCACAACCTTTCCATTTTTTTGTCCCCAAGATAAGTTAACAGTATCACAACCTAAGGCAGTATAACCCACAGTCTTTAAAAAAATCCAAACACTTAAAAGTCTATAGTCTTTTAAAAGTCTCTTAACCATGGGCTCCTGTAAAATCCAAAACAAGTACTGTCTTATTTCAAAAGGGAAGAGTTGGGCACACCTAAGTAAAACCTAAGTCCAGTAAAGTAGCTTAAGGCTGGACATCAGAGACTCACTCATGATCTTCTGAGCTCCAAAAGATTTTGGCAGCTCCTCTTCTCTGACTCTGCCATACACAGCATACACAGCTCAACTTGCAGACCCAGGCCAGCTCCATTCTACACCTGCTTCTGCCCTTGGTGGCCGTCCCATGGTCCTGACATCTCCAAAAAGCTGGGGTCTTCACTGAAACTGAGGCTGCACCTTCACCAATGGCCTCTTTCTGGCCTCTCAGGGTAGAAAGCTTCAGATTCTATGACCTCTTCAATCCTGGAGTCTTCACTGCAACTGAGGCTACACTTTCACCAATGGCCTTTCCTGGCCTCACAGGGTGCCAAGGCTCAGCTGTTCTCTGTGACCCCTTCACACTTTCAACACACGAACCATGCAATAGACTCTTAAACATTATCAAGTCCTGCTTCCACCTTGAGACGGTAGCTCAGGTCTTTTCTGGACCATAGCTTCTGTGCTGACACTGAGGATATACTTCCAAGATTTGCCATACTGATGCTGGTCTCTTGTTACTTACAGCTGAGTTTTCATCCCCAGCTAGCCAGCATCAATTGTCCCAGTGAAACAAAGGTTTCACTTCAGTGGTTCTGATCTCTTCATAATTACAGTTGATTCTTCTCCAGATGACCAGAACCCACAGAGTCTCAATTCAAGATATCACACAAACAGCCCTGATAGTCTCTGCTTCCCTTTGATGCTTCATAAGCCAGGCCTCCATTGTCTACAACTCTTTTAGCATAACTGTTCCAAGCTCCACAGCAACAAAGTCTAAGCACTCAATGACTTTTCCAGCCCAAAGTTCAAACGCTTCCACAATCCTCCCAAAAATACCAAGGTCAGTTCTGTCACAGCAATACCTCACTCCTGGTACCAATTTCTGTTCTTTTGTTTCTCCATTGCTGTGACAAAATACTCTGACCCATACCAACTTGGGGAGGAAAGAGTATATTTGACTTATATCTCCTGAGTCAGTTCATCAGGGAGCCCAAGGTAGGAACTTAGGACTAGAACTTGGAGGCAGGAGCTGAAGCACAGGTCATGAAGGAATGCTGTTTACTGGCTTGGTCCCTTGGCCCCTGCTCAACCTACTTTCTTACACAACATAGGCCTACCTTCCCAGGTGTGGCACCACCCCCAGTGGGGTTGGCCCTCCCACATCACTCAATAATCAAGATGCCCCACAGACATGGTCACAGGCCAGTCCAATGGAGGCAGTACACCAATTGAGGCTCCCTCTACCCAGGTGTGTCAAATTGACAACTAAAGCTATCAAGCACAGCCCTAATATTAGCTTTCTGTTGCTATAATGAAATTCATGAGGCACTGCTCTCTTTACAAAAGGTAAGTCTTGAGCCAGGCATGGTAGTGCATGCCTATAATTCTAATACTCAGAACTCTGAGGCAGGAAAATTGGCACTGATATAAATACCAGGAACATGCTGCTTGCTTTATAGAGAATAATAAAGTCCTTTGTTTTAGATCTAGATGCCTTATATCTTTAGCTAGGATCTATGGAACTTCAACACACTTACTTTAGGTAATTTGTCTACACAATGCTACATTGCTCTCCAGAATGTCTGTGTGATGTGCCTGGCCACAACTACGCCTAGTAGTTCCCATGTGTTGTGAGTCTACTATGTCAGAAATATTGGTGGACATAATTATATTTTTCCACAATATCAGAATTTGTCGAATAATAAGTCACAAGGTATGGTGATTTCAGTAGCAACAATTTGTGAGATATTCCTGCTTTCCTTGGTGACCCTAGCCCAGTTGTACATAGTTTCTTTTATTCCAGTGTTAATTAGTAATATTAATTCTCAGATCACATTACATATCACACAGTAAATATATCTATATATGCTTATTTATGAAATCTTCCTGGAGGAAACAAGGAAAGACTTGAAATCAAGTAAAGTGTTATCATATTAGTCAGGCTTCTCTAAAGGACCAGAACTGGTAGAATGAATACATATATATTTGATGTGTGCAC